ATTTAGAAATATTTATTATTTCTGGATCTTCTTGAACAAGGTTTAGTAGTTAGGGTTAAATTTTCAATTAGCTCAAACCATGCACTAAATTTCACTTTTGGGGTTAATGAATCTAAAATTGCTTCTTTTTTTTTTCATGTATTTTAATTTCTTAACTTTTTGCTGTGATTGACCAAAATAGATCTCAAGTTACATCTTTGAAACATTGCACCCAGTGTTTGCTTGAGCTTCTAATGTAGTACTGTGTCCATCCATCCATGAAAAGGGACATCAATAAAAAGTCACTCCTTGTTTTTCTTTTTTGCAGCAAGCAATAAGTGCTGTATTAGTCTCTCAGGATGACAAGCCTAGTGGTGCCAAGAACGACGCTAGAAATTCGCTTAAGACTTGGCCAGACAAAGAGGAAAGCACCCTAGGATCAGTTCCTCCACAGCTCATGGCAGCAATCTGACTTGAGTTTTGAGGTAGTGGACGGGCTGATACAGACATGTTTCCTGAAGTTGATATAGCAATTGGAAATGGCAGGTCTCTAAAACCAATCAAGAAAATAGTACTCCCCACCATTTGAGTTTTGAGAATGGATGGTGAAATTTGAAACTAAGATGTATATTAATTTGTGATTCAAATGTATTAAATATTTTGGCAGAAAAATATTTTGAATGGAAAAATGGATCTTTTAAATTGTATTTATAGTGAAGTGAAACATTTTTCCGTAATTCACGGTTGATTTTTTGTTATTAATCTTTTTTTTATAAAGCCTTGCTCTGGTCTTTCTTTCCCATAATAGATTCTTTATTCAGGTCAGTCTTGTTTTATAATGGTCTGACGAGTGACGACAAGATCTGTCTGTTTTAAATTAGTCTATGTTGGAGAAAGTTGTTCTCTGTTCATTTGCACATAAAAAATAAAGTTTTGACAGGTAGAGTAATAAATAAAATGATAAAACCTCCCCTAACGATTGTAATAATTATAAAAATCTCTTTTAAATTAAGTTTCATTTTGGTCATTGCTGCAAAATTGCAATAATGGAGACTTGGAATAATTTATAAATTTGCCCATACTACTTGTTTACATTATATAAAATGTCAGATTTGCCCCTGTAGACTTCACCCTCTCTAGTTGACAAATATACAAAGTAAAAGTACTTTGTTCTTGTCAATTTGGTCCAAGGAGCTTGTATAGCTAAATGTTTAAAATTTTTGTTTGGGATATTTTAGTAAATTTTCATATGAATCAAAAGAAATAAGGGCAAAATGGCCATTGAAAAAACTAATTTATTAGGCCAACTAATTCGACAAAAACCTTCCTTCCGTCACCGACCCAGACGGAAATCACATGAACTTACAAAATTGCCCCTAACTAATTTGACAAAAACCTTCCTTCCATTTTCTAGCAACTGTTCTTGTCTGGTGAAATTTCTTTTGTTTCCATTTTGAAGCCCATTTGTTGATCGGCGGGTGCTCTTCACTGAGTTAAAGCTTCATTGGCAGAAAGGTTAGTGTTTTATAGGATTTTATTCAGTTTTAAATGGATTTTTATTGGATCCGAATATTTTATTGTGTTGAATATGATTTATGCTTCCAAGGTCGTTCTTCTAATATTGGATCCGAACAAATCGTTCTTCTAATATGATTTGTGCTCTTCGTTTCATAGGATTTTATTGGATTCGATATTCTATTATAGTTTTATTCCTTCTTGACTTCACTATCATTTTTTTAGTTTCTATTGTTTGTGTATTAACTCTCACGACCAAACGTATGAACAATGTAAAATGTATAATGATTAATTGAATGGATGACTTGTATTGACAAGATAAGTAACAGCAGAAGCTTGAACCAAACGTATTCTAAATAAAAAATGCATGCCCATTGAAAGCTTTATGCATCATTATGACCAACAGTTCTCATGATAGAACCGGTATTTCCAGCAATCTTGGGTCAAATTATTATTAATGTAATTTATTTATGAAAATAATTATTGGTGCAATTTGAACTAGAGTAAATAGAATGGTTTTCCTTCGTTAAAATAAGTAAAGTTTCACTTTTCAAATCTAGAGATCACAAAAGTTGCTTAAACATTGGGCCTGAACAACATAGGGAATAAAGGAGTTTTTGTATAAAATACTTTGTACAGAGTGCCATACTTGTATATTTTTCTTCTCAGTTAATATATTTCATACTTCTCTTAAGAAAAAACAGAGGGAATGATGGCATTCTTGTTGCTGTCCTAAATCATTCTAAAGGTAGCAAGGCAAGCCAGGATGGTTATCTCTGTTGTTGTTAATTTGACATTTAATACAATACAACCATGTTTAAAAGTTTCCTGGCAGCCTTCCTTTTTAATCAGAATAGGACAATGATATCTCCATCCGGCATTGTTTGGGTATTTAACTCTCACTTCTTTTGTTTAGTAGAAATGTTTCCTATCTACAGATACTTTACCCAACAATACTGAGACGAGTTCCTATGTATACACACTTTACCCAACAATACTGATTTCGCACTTGTTTGATCATGTACCTTTATTGGGGATAGCCTTCTTGGGGGAGTGGTCCGGACCAGTGTTTTAAAAGGTGCACCTCCGGGCAACTGTAGCTAACTGTAGGTGCTAACTGTTAGCTAGAAAAGGTGGAAACCAAGAATAGATATATCCAAGCCAGCCTTGAAGGGCTAACTGTAGGGTTTTCATATGGGGAATGATGTATTGGTACTTTCCTTTGACCCATTTGCAAGGATTTTTTTTTCTCCTTTTTTTACAGTTTTACAAACTCAACCATTGCAGCTCTGTGTCCTCAAGCAATATAACATAGGAAGGTATATAGTTATCATCGTGCAAATAAAATATCCTTCCCACTCCCCTCCTAGCTAAGTTATCAGCCTCCACAATAAGAACATGTACTGATAGCCATACTTGAGCAAAACGGTAGCATTTACTGTAATTTTTCATTTTTAAGTTCCCATAAAAAATGACTTGATCTAACTCTTCAATCACTGATGACAGGAACATGTACAACCTCAAGCTGCACCATTGTATTTTGGATCTGTGGGGATCCAGAATCATCAAGAAGCAACATTCGATGCTTGGGACAATGGGGAATGCAGTAGCTCATGCATTAAGGATGATACAAGTGGCAAATCTGATTCAGTCTCAACCAAACCAGTCAAGGAAGCTATGCTGAACCCTCACCATCTACAGTCAAGGAGCTCGTGCCTAATGGGAATGAGGGTTCATCATCTACAGTTATGCTTGGTCCATCACAAGTGAACTTACTTCTTTCCCAGGATGATTACTCGTGCATATCAATCATTGTAACAAGAAAAGCAAGAGTTTTCTCAAGAGATTCTTGGGATCACCTTTCCCTGAGGATGAGCAAACAATTTTTGAACTTGTATCTTTTGCTCTCTTTTTTTTATCAAGTAGAAATAAGAATAATTTTAGGGCACCTAACCCTTTTACCACTTATACATATTTTTCTTCTTTTTATTGATTTTTTACACTTGTAATATGTTATATATGGAAAAACAAGACTTGGGGTGATTTGCCACTCCACTCAATTGAGTCAGGTTTTTGTCTCATACTAAGAAAAAAAATTCTTGGTTTTCCAACAATAAAAGTTCAAGGAGATATGATAATATAAACGATAAAATATCATAAAGCACAAAGTGTTGTATATTTCTAGTGCCAAAACAGTCCCCGAATTTTCTACACAGGTTTCCAAAACATTCTTCTATTTAAATGCATCATTGTAAGACATTTGTATATAAACTTCACTTCTAGGAAGGCAATTATAAGGATTAAATGTTTTCCCCTTCATCATTAATTGCTTATAAGGAAGGCAATTATAAGCACAAAATGTTGTATTATAAGGATTAAATGTTTTCCCCTGCACACATCCTCTCTTTGGAAAAGATATTTTTGATAGTCTAATAGATATCATTTATTATCTTCAAGATACTTTACATACCCATGCTCACTTCTCTGATTTATTCATGGACCAAACATGCAAGGGAAAGTAGGAAACATGGAAGAGAAGGACCTGCTCAAAAAATTCCAATCAAGGAAGGGAAAACAGAATATTACAATTTTATAGGGAAGTTTTCAGGACATAATAAGAGGCATTATGATTTATGACATTGCATGGAATTAAATCATTTCAATTGGTAACATTATAACTCAGTTCACCATCCAAAATGGAGTCACAGGGAGGAAATTGTTTAAATAGGTGAAATCAGATCTCTTTAGAATTCCAATTAAATTCATACAACTTATCAATATTCAATAGTTGCTTCATTTTGACAAATGAAGTTGTGGTCAAATTGATGTGAAAGACTTATGAAATACTTTTCTTTTTGCATGGCTTCTTTAACATGAACTAAACCCAGGCTGTATAGTCAAGTTAAGGGCTTTGCCAACCCAATTCAGATTCTAGTTCCAAGGAATTGTGTATAGATAGATAAGTACAAGTGGGTTTTTTTCTTATCAAAACACATTAAAGCAGCAGCTATATGTGCTAATGAAATGCTCTGGTTGAGGTTCCTTTTGTTTTTGGTCAAATAGCGGAAATGGTTTATCATGTACACATGGGATTTATTTTCCATTTCTAGTTCAAACAATAGTTACTTATTCATGTGTAAGAAAATTTTGACTTAAATTGGAAGCTTGTTCTAGGAAGGTTTCTCTTCAGAATAGTTTGTGAACAGGTCAAAACAGTAAGAAGACACAATCTCATCTTATTTGAATCTTGGTTTAATACGTTGATAGGACATTAGCAACGTGGACCACAGGACTTAAGAGGGGAAATTTAAACATTTTAGAATTTTGGACTGCTTGTTCGAATATGAGGTGCTTCAAGCACTGCATCAAAAGTTCCGTAGGAAATTATTGTTCAATTGCTTTATGATTACATCCATAGCTATGCATTACATCAAAAGTAATCCAAAATGGTTTTTATGTTGAATCCATAGCCATGCATTACAATTATTATACAACAATGGGTGCTTTTCATTAAAATAACATTGCGAGTTGGGGATATAACTGTGCAACATAAAAATGAGTGCTTTTCAAGCAAGGGCTTTATAAAGCCTATTGCCCTTCTTGCTTGGATCAAGTCCAATTCATCCATAATTATTTGCACTTACATGCATTCAAATTAGTGCATATTTGGTTGCACTAAAGACATAAGAAGTACCAAATACAAATACAAACTAAGGCCATGGCCAGCAAGCAACCCACTAACAACCAACTAATACATCCAAAGAATTTTTCTTTTTTCACTTTTTTTATCACATAAAAAATCATATTATAAACTCAAATGGATATCTCCATCACCTGCTTTCAATGTTTTGTTTCTTTCTCAGTCCAAACAAAAAAAGTAGGCTAAAAAAAACAGTAATCAAGATGATTTCCTGTAGAAACTTATATACTTGAAAATATTGTAAAATCCCAATTCATGGTTGGGAAAAGTGTAGCTCTTGACTGCTCGGCTGCTCCTGTCCCTGTAAACTAAAAAGTATTTCAACTTGATGATTCTGGATCTCCACAGATCCGAAATACAATAGTGTAGCTTGAGGTTGTACATGTTCCTGTCATCAGTGATTGAAGAGTTAGACCATGTCTTTTTTATGGGAACTTAAACATGAAAATTACAGTAAGTGCTACCCTTTTGCTTAAATATGGCTATCAATAAGTGAATTCTGAATACCCCATAGCAATGACCATTTATAGACCCAACATATGGAGAATTGACTCTACTTCCAATTAAGAGTTAAAAATTAACCTAAAGCAAATTCTAATTGCTTCAAAAGTAAGACAAACCTATAGATAACCCATAGTGGAGCTAAAACAAGGACTTTAACTATAAAATAACCATCAAATGGCTCAAATTGACCAAAACTGGAAATGCTTGAGAAAACTTTGTTCATAACTGGGAGAAAACGGTTTGCTCCATAAATTTTTCTTTTGCTTCCATGTGACATCAGGACTCCAGTATTGTTATTGAGTGGGTCTAAAGACCAAGAGAACTTATTTGTATAGCAATAACTTAATTTTTCTTGGTTATAGGAACATGTACAACAAAAACAGTGTTGTTATTGGAGGTATTTCAAAAGATGTCAGTATGGCTATCAGTAAATGTTCACTTAACTCTATTGATTTCCTACAAAAACAGAATTGTTACTGGATATATTTCATATGATATTAATAACAAAAGTATTGTTTACTAAATCTTTTGCTTAGGTATTGTTTATGGATGGATGGACTTCTCTGGGGACTTCTCAGAGAAATGAAGATTGTTAGTATAATAAATATCATAGCATATATGTGCAACTTGAGATGAAGAATAGTACATAAATATCATATGTATTGGTTTACTACCTCTAAAACGATGTTTTCTCCTACACCTTGAGGTTGGCTTAGGGACCTCATAGCTCTGCTAGACGCTCTCCCACCACTATTTAGTCTTCCCACCTGAAACTAAGTAGAAATATTCAATAAGCATTGAGGAGAAGAAAAAACACTTGACCTACAATTAATGCATCTCAAGTTTGGTAATATTAATAGGACCTGCAAATTATGGGCTTGTTGTTGTGACTGGGCAGATGAACCACTCCCACTTGCCATTCTAGAACTGCTTCCTCTATTCCTTGGTGCTGGCCCTTGACAACCTCTAACATTGTGTACATAAATTTTGCATCTAGAACATTTGGCTCTCCTACACTGGAATAGAGGTTGCCTTGCTAATGGCTCTTCAACCGGTGCCCTTTTTCTAGCAACTCTTGGTCTTCCTGGCTGTCTCTTTAATGGCGGTGCTTCAATGAGATCCCAAGAACTTTCCGGCCAATATTTTTAATCCGGTATAGGGTGAACTGTTGGTGTATAGGCTACCAAATATTTTTCCCTTTTCCAGCATTCATTGAAATAATCTTCAATTCTTTCTCGCCTATGGATCACCATGGTCATTGCATACTTGCAAGAAATACCACTAATGTCCCAAACCCGACAACTATAAGAAGAATGCTGTAAATAAACACTCTCCCAAATTCCATTATATTGCACCTCATACTCCAACTTCCTAGACCTCAAGACTTGGCAATTCCTTCAATTCAACAATTAATGTAAGGTGAGTAAACAAAGAAAAAAAAAAGATTATACAAAAACAATTAGCAACTAATTAAATAATTACCTAGCAAGTCGTCTTTGCTTCTCAACCAACCTAACAACTTTTGGTAAAAGAACATTTGTATCCTTTAATGCTTTATCATGTCTAGATTTAATTTTACTCATCCATTTACGCCGAATGTATTCTAGGAGAGGAACAATAGCTTTGAACTTGGCATCCATAACTCATTTATTAAATGACTCTAACATATTATTTGTCAAATCATCACTTTTTGTACTAGGGTTGAAAGCATGCCGACTCCATGTTTTTGGAGGAATGTCCTTTACCCACTCCCATGTGGATTGGCTTAGGGCCTTCATTTAATAATGCACTAGTGAAATCTTGCACTGTGTGTACCCTTGCAGCCTCCCAGAACACATTTCTTAGTGCAATACCTTTGTGTACTGTTTTAAAATTAGAATACATGTGTCAAACACAGAACCTATGATCTGCATTGGGCATTACATCATGTACAGCATCAACAAGACCCTATTCAATTAGAAAAAAAGTAATTTTTAATAAACACATAATCATATCTTCAACCTCAAAAGAAAAAAAAAAAAAAAAAAAAAAAAAACAAATTAAACCACTTAACCTTTTGTCGGTCTAACATGAAGCACCATCCATGGCCATCATTTGTAATATCAATAGCATCTTCTAGTTGTTGCAAAAACCAAGTCCAACTAAGCCTAGCTTCAACCTCAACAATGGCAATTCCAACCGGAAAAATGCCATTATTGCCATCCAAGCAAACAGCAACAAGCAAAATTCCCCCATATGGCCCCTTCAAGTGACAACCATCCAAACCCACCAATCTCCTACATCCAACCAGTGCTCCTCTTTTCATTGCATCATAGCAAACAAACACTTTTTGAAAAATGGGAGGTGAGTTGGGAGTAGGCCTATCCACACATATTCTAGCAGTACTTCCTAGGTTTTCTTTCAATATTGCTTCACAATAGTTAGGTAGCTTAACCATTCATGCTTTGTGACACCCTTCAACTTGTTTCATTGCCTTTGACATTGCTCTATATACCTTGCTCCTTGGAACTCCTATATCATACTTTTGTCTCAATTCCATAACTATGGACTCTATCTTCCAAGTGGGATTTTGGCGCAACTTTTCTCCAATCTTTTCAGCAATCCAGGTGTTAGTTGCTTGTTTATTACGATATATACGCGAGCAATTATGCTCAGGATTAAGTGACTTAATACAATAGGTGAGACCATCTTGTAGTGGTGAAGCATGTATATGCCATGGGCAGTCTTCCCATGCACATTGAGCTATGACACGAGACTTTTCATTTTTTATATACTTGATTTGAAACCCATTTACAATAATGTGTTCTTTGAGGGCAGCCCTAAATTCTTTTATACTGGGAAAACACATACCAACCTGTAAATTAGGCACTTCAATGTTGAATGATACCTCAAGAGCATGTCTTGCATCATCATCATCTAAATCTATCAGGCTTGCATATTCTGATACAGGTTCATAATCTGATAGACCATTATCATCCTCTATTTGAATCCTAGTATCCTCTTCATTAATATCAACCTCAATAACACCATGACCCCCATCATTATCTTCATCTTCACTAAACTCATAATCAAACATTGCTTCCCTGTGTTCATTATAATCTTCATGTTCATTAGGCATATTTAAGTCAGCGTCTTGAATAACTTCAAGCTCTTCATTATCAACATGGCGTTCAATATGAGATTCCATTTACCTAGAAAGGAGTATGTGAGACAATGACAAAAAAGTGAAAACAAGTAAACTTAAGCAATTAAACACCAAAATATTTATTAGATTGAATTGGACATGGTCCGTCCGTAATAAATTTATATTGGATTGGGTTGGATTAAGCCAATATCTAGTCCATTGATATAAGATAGTAATATAGGTGTCACTGGACTGGGTTTGGGTTGAAACCAATCTAAATTAAAACAAATTTGAATAAATTGGATGGCCCAGACATTGAATTGGACCGGTCCAAAATGGTCCAAAATATTCATTGGATTGGATTGGACCTAGTCAATTTGTAATGGACTCACATTGGACTGGATCGGATTGGACCAAATCCAGTCCAATTGACACCCCTATACCTTCCTATGTTCTATTGCTTGAGGACAGAGTTGCAATAGTTGAGTTTGTACAACTGTAAAAAAAGGAGAAAAAAATCCTCTACAGTTAGCCCCTTAAGGCTGGCTCGGGTATAGCTATTCTTGGCTTCCACCTTCTCTAGCAAAGGAATCTGCAACTTATTTATCTGAGCCTTGATTCGACTGAGGGTGCCTTACCCTCTGCAACTTATTCAAGTAAAGGTTGATCTACTTCATTTATTAGGGTTTTTTACATATATTGTTTGACTTGTGGACTAGCATATCTCTGGTCTTGGATGGGTACAACATTGACATAAGGCTATTGCCAATAAAGGTACATGATCAAACAAGTGGGAGACCAATATTGTTGGGTAAAGTGTGTATACATAGGAACTCGTCTCAGTATTGTTGAGTAAAGTATTTGTACACAGGAAACATTTCTACTAAACAAAAGAAGTGAGAGTTAAATACCCAAATAATAGAAACTCTGGAATGCTGGATGGGGATATCATTGTCCTATAAAAAGGATGGCTGCCGGGAAACTTTTAAACATGGTTGTATTAAATGTCAAATTAACAGCAACAGAGATAACCATCCTGGCTTGCCTTGCTACCTTTATTGTTTAGGACAGCATCAAGAGTGCCATCATTCCCTCTGTTTTTTTTAAGAGAAGTAAAGTATGAAATATATTAACTGAGAAGAAAAATATACAAGTATGGCCCTCTAAACATAGTATTTTATACAAAAAAAACTCCTTTATTCCCTATGTTGTTCAGGCCCAATGTTTAAACAACTGTTGAGATCTCTAGATTTGTAAGTGAAACTTTGCTTATTTTAGCGAAGGAAAACCATTCTATTTACTCTAGTTCAAATTGCACTAATAATCATTTTCATAAATAAATTACACTAATAATTTTGATCCAATATTACTGGAAATACCGGTTCTATCATGCAAACTGTTAGTCATAATGATGGAAAAAGCTTTATCCTTACAGCTTTGCAATGGGCATGCATTTTTTTTATTCAGAATACGTTTGGTTCAAGCTTCTTCTGTTGTCTATTTAAGTTGTTACTTGTCTTGTCAATACAAGTCATCCTTTCAATTAATCATTATACATTTTACATTGTTCATAATGGATATAAGCAGCAGCTTGTATCTAAATTGTTGCTAATCCTTCTGTCTTTCTTTGGGGGTGTTGGGCATATGCAGGTTTGTTTTGCAGTTGATGGAGTTCTTCTGACTTCACTTTCTTGTCAAATCATTTCTTGAGGTATGCTAGTTAGTAGCTTATGATGCAGGGTAACTCTGGAATGCTGAGTAATATAGATGCTGGCCGTGAGATTAATACACAAACAATAGAAACTTAAAAAGCGACAGTGAATTAAAACAAAAGAATAAACTCCAAGAGAATATCGAATCCAATAAAATCCTATGAAACGAAGAGCATAAGTCGTATTAGAAGAACGATTTATTCGAATCCAATATTAGAAGAACGACCATGGAAGAAAACGAAGAGCATAAATCATATTCAACATAATAAAATATTCGAATCCAATAAAAATCTATTTAAAACTGAATAAAATCCTATGAAACACTAACCTTTCAGCCAATGAAGCTTTATCTCAGTGAAGAACACTCGCCAATCAACAAATGGGCTTCAAAACGGAAACAAAAGAAATTTCTCCAGGCAAGAACAGTCGCCGATGAAGAACAATTGTTGGAAAATGGAAACTATTCTCCGGTGAATGGAATATTTCGATCACCGGCACCACTGCAAGTGGTATTAGGTTTTTTTTTTATTTGAAAAATCCCTATAACAAAGTGTAAAAGAGAGATTAGCCGAGTAAGGGCAATTTCGACATTTTAAAATATTTTAATGATGCCCTCACAATTAGTTAGGGGCTATTTTGTAATTTCATGTGATTTCCGTCTTGGTCAGTGACGGAAGGAAGGTTTTTATCAAATTCTAAACATTTAGGGGAGGTTTTTGTATTTTACCCTATTAAAATAAAACCTCGGAGGATTTAATGATTGTTAGGAAAGTTTTTATATTTTAATAAATAAATAAAAAACAATGAAAAAGAATAGTGGGGATTCTCGGAATTCATGACCTATTAGCTGTCTTTGACATGTCGATTTTCTCATGCTAGTTCATGGAAATTGGAGAGAACGCAATGGCACATGCATCTGTATTTAAAAATGACGACAGTGGAGAAGTAATGAAGTAGGAAATTACGTAGGCATTTACAAATTTAAACTATAGGAGCCCGGAAGCCATGAGCATCCTCCCAAAGTAAACGGGACAACTCAGCCAGGAACAAAAATTGGGATGCAAACATAGAATAAGAAATTAAATAAACAATAGAAATATTTTTTAAGAATATAAAAATTAGAGCATAGATCTATTAATGAATTCATATCAAGGTTTTAAAAACAGGATCGGGCAAAGAACTGTTTTCGAGACCGGTTCTAACCTTTCAGTTTGAATAGACGGCCAAATCAGCAGATTACTGATCAAATGACCGGTTCTAACCTTTCAGTTTGATATTAATGAATTAATATCAAGTTTGAATTCCGATCCGACCCAAAAAATAGGATTAGGTTTTCATATTTATCAATCCGAATGTGAAAATGGTCCAATCCGAAAAAATTGAATTGGGTTGGGTCATGGGTCAACCCATTGACTCGATTGTCAAGTTTAATTGAGATTATTTATGCATTGTTATAAGTTTTCATTCTTTAATTTTTTCTATTTAGTCTTTACTTTTTAAATTGTTAAATGTTTAAATTTTTATTTTATATTTAAAATTTTAAGGTTAATTCTTTTAATTTTGACATTTTTCATGTAATTTTTCTTTATTTTTTTAAATTTTAATTATTTTTTGGGATGATCCAAATTGACCCATGGATCAACTCTAACCTGAACATCTAGGATTAGGGTCTAGCATTTGACAACCCAACCCAAAATACATTGACCCAATGCGAACCCAACCCACCCAACCCGATTGCCAGGTCTATTTATAGAGTACAGAAGAAGAGTAAATAGAGAGCCAATTGAAGCCCTTCCGAAAAGAAAAATGTACATCCGTTCAGCTGAACTCAAAAGGAAGTTTATCTTTGTCGAGAGTCCGGAGAATTTGAATGTGAATCGCCTGAAGGAGTCATGGAGTACAACCAAGCGTCCAGAATGGTACAAAGCTGCAATGGAGGGTGACCAAGCTCGCCTCTGTAGTTTTGTAGGTGATAGCACACTTGGACCAGGAGATAGCAGCCTTCTTCTCACTGTAGTCAAATTTGGAAACGAAGATTTAGTGAGGAAAATCATCTTTCTGAATCCAGAATCCCTGCTAAAACAAGATGCAAAAGGCGACACTCCTTTACATGTAGCTGTCAGGCTCTGGCATTGTGGAATAGTTGACATTCTCATCGATTGCCGGAGGGATTCCCCTCCCCCAAGCAGAGATTGAAAGAGAAATTGATGGAAGTAGGAGGCTACTGAGGACGATGAATCATATGAACCATACGGCCTTGCACGAGGCTGTGCGGAGCGGTCAATTTGAGCTCGTGAGATCGCTGATTGGAAAAGACGCTGAATTGGCCACAATCGTAAAGGAGGACGATGAATCCGCGGAATCCCCACTGTGTATGGCTATCCGGAGAAGATTCTTCCAAATCGCAGAGTTTTTGATATCTTCTAACAAGTTTAGTTGGCGCGGCCCCAAGGGTACGACGGCCTTGCACTATGCAGTTCTCCAGAAACAATCAGGTAATCCCCATTCTCTTCTTATTATTATGCCCTTAGACTAGGGGTGGATCCGATCCGAGGCTGGCTTTGTAAGGTTTCTAGACCTATATATTTACATTCAATAAGATTTTAATACGATCAAAATCAATAGCCAAATTCCAAGAGATAAATTGTTCTTTTTCGATTCAGAGCTTGCAAATCGCTTCATCCTTCATTTTTAGGGGACCGGACGTAGTAGGCACAATAAAATAAGCATGTTAAATGAATATTTAATAGATATTTTGATAATTGTCAAAAGTGAGTATTAATCTTTTTCAAGGATAGACGTGGGTATTTTAAAGGACTGGTGTAAAAAAAAATTCAAGTGTTCATTAGCATGTACTTACAACTTCATCCGAACCCCATTTTTAGCAAAAGCAATCAGGTTGAGCTAATGATTGGCCCATCAAACTTTTTTCAGGGACATTCTTGATCCAAATCAATTTGTTGAATCCCAATTTTTAATTTTGACCTGATCCATTAGGTTTTTTTTTCTGAGACAATCCAATTTGTTTGGATTGGATTTTTAGGTTTGAGCTCAAATTGGAATGAGGTATGTGTTTTATTTTTTAGGGTCAGATTGGACAATACCTATCAGCCCAGCCCAAACTTAAATATTTGATTTGAGATGGACAATACTTCCTCTAAGTGCATTATAGAAAATTTCACCTGCTATCCATTCTCCCTCATCTCTTACACACCCCCCAAGACAATTCTTGACTCCAACACTGCCCAAAACCCTAGCTACACCCCAACCTAAGTGAAAGGGGGACTTGATCCCAGGTCTCCACTCTAGAGACTTTACTACAAGCCAATAGAAAGGTATGTCCATGGTAAGTAAAAGAAAATTAAAGACTTCAACTATTGTATATTACATTAAATCAAAATTTTAGCCAATCACATTATATAAATATTATGGTCTATTAACATTTTATCGGTTCATGTTTCACAAGATGTATTTTTACATTTTACGAAGTCATTTATCATTAAAACTTTAATAAGGTCAATTTCAACTTACTTTATCACTAGTTCAATTTTTTTTGCTTCATAGTGCAATTCGTGCACCATAGACTTTGCCAAAATTAAATGACGAATATATGAAAAACATCTTAGTGGCTGTTTGGTAATTCTAAGTGCCTATTAGTGAGGGCTTTTATAGAATGGTTTTTAGCTTTGCAAGGCAGGTCCCACATGATGAGCTTTGTTTTGTCAAAATTTGGTAAAGTTAGAATACACTTATAATAAATTTCTCGTGAAGCTAATTTCAATAACTTCTTTAATGCGGCTTACTCAATGCATCTCAATCAAAGCTGAAGTCCTACGGAACGAGCTCTAAGTAGATCTTTTGACGGCCTACCAATTCAAAATACATGATGAGCTTTGGTTCGGGGTTAAAATTAAAATAAGATTTTGGTTTGATAAAATCAAAATGTTCACATAATATTAATGACATAACGGCATTTCTCTAGAAAACAGCCAAAATACCAAACATATACAATAAGGGTTATTGGGCCGAAGCTCACCCATGAAGAGAAAGTGGATAAAAGAAGACAGTCCTATTACCAACCAATAACCAAGTAGGCTATTGGATTGACATTTTTTTTTTTAAACTTCCTAATAAAATATAAATTTTTCCTAAGGCCGCAATGGATAGGATTTAATCCTATTCAAATTCAAAACTAGTTCGTCTAATCAGATTGATTCGGATATTACAATGTTGAATACTTCTTTTTAGTATTAAAATTCTTTAAAATTAAATAGTATTTTGAATTTAGATAAAGCTATTTCTTATAGTATATCTTTTTTGTTTTATATTTCATTTTTTTCATTTTGTAAATTTATGTTAATTTTATTAAAGTTTACTGATATTCTAATCAAATTGGATATCCGAATATGCAAACAAATTAAATTCAAATATATGTTTTATGTATCCATCGGATCTTGCATCAAGATCTATTGGATTTTTATTATATCACATCAGATATACCCCCTATCCAAATTTGATCTGATTGATTTGCATTTCAAAATTTTCTCTATAGACTCAGTTTGGAAGGAGTACAAATGTAATTATCTAGAGTAAAAAATCTTGTATTTTGTATTATTTTACTTGTATCTGTATTGTACAAATTTGCAAGGAGTACAAATACAAATATGCACATTACAAATACATACAAAATAATACAAAATGTAAGGTTTTGCACTCTGCATATATATTTGTATCTGTCTTCCTTCCAAACTAAGCCTAACAATGAATTCCTAATTACCATGGGATTGACTTTGATATTTAAAAGATATGATATCTAAAAAATTTTTGACCAATTTACTGGTATCATAAATGTGGTAGCCAATTAGGTGTTATTTATCAAAATTCATGGGTGGGTATTGATTGGTCAAAACTCTTCTTGTACCATGTCTTTCTTGCATCATAGATTTTCCCTTTTTCTTTTTGTTTGATATCAAGTTGAGGCAAAATTTTAAGTGCCCGTTTGGAGGGTTATAGTTTTCAGGCAATGGCCTTTGGTGTTGCAAGGTGGGCCTTACATGGAAAGCCTAAAATCTATGTTTGGTGAAAAACTTGGAAAACCAAAATCTACTTTAAAGTTAATAAATCTATTTTCTAGTTAGTAGCTTCTTCAAAGTGGCTTAGACAATGTAGCCCAATCAAAGATAAGCCCGACCAAACAAGAGAGCTTTTGTGCAACAACTAGGAATGTCTAAGGGGTGGGGATCATATTCCTTGTCCCCAACCCATTTTTAGAGATAAATCTGTCTCCGATTCTGATTCCCACCGGGGATAAAAATTGTCCTCCATCCCCAATCCATGACGGAGGTAGATTCCCCACGGGGACCTGAATCACCAAAATTTGTTAATTAACATAAGTTTTTAAAATTAAATTTACTTAAAATGAAATAAAATTTTAAAATATAAATAATATTTTAAATATATTTTGATATACATTTGAAATAATCCCCATCCCCAACCCCATTGGGTCAAGGAGGTTGGGTACCTGGTAGTGTGATAGATATCTTCAAGCATGAGGGACTGTTGTAAGGAAAAAAGAAAAAAGCTTAGGGGGCTGTGGAAAATTCCCGATCAGTACCTGTACTTGGCTCGAGTGACAATTTGGTCCCCAAACTTTAAAATGTAACAATCTAGTACTTGAACTTTCAAAATGTGACAATCCAATACCTGTTGTTCACCATTCTGTTAATCAGTCGTTAAGTGATATTTGAAAAGTCAAAAATGCCCTTCGAATGTCATCTAACTCTCTTTATCAACCATCCTAATGTTGACAAAAAAATGAACAGTCCCAAATCCTAGCATCTTTTATTCAAAAAAGCTAGTGATTGTTTAGAAGAATCTAGAATTTGGGGCTACTCATTTTATTGTCAATGTTTGGATGGTTGATAAAGAGAATTAGATAGCATTCTTAGGCTATTTTTGACTTTTCAAATGTCATTTAACAGCTGATTAATGGACTGGTTAACGACAACGATAGGTACTGGATTATCATGTTTTCAAGGTTCAGGTACTGAATTGTAGCATTTTAAAATTTGGGAGACCAAATTGTCGCTCAAGCCAAATTACAAGTACTGATCAGGAATTTTCCCTTTTTCTTTCTTTCCCTGCTAATTATAGTAGAAAGGTCATAAAGGTCTTGCCGAACTACTATAATTAGTAATTGAAAGGTCATAAGGCACGAAATGAGCACAAGGTGTACTTATGGTCACTCGTTTAAACTTTTTTAAAAACCAAAACTACCTTTTTTTCAAAGAATTTTTAGCATTTTTTTTTTCAATTTTCATTTATTACTAGTTTTATTGAGACTAATTGCATGTTGTATTTGTTGCAACTCCAGGTCTTCATAGAAGCCTTTTGGTCTTTTGTTTCAAGTCCCATTTTATAAAGATTCTCAGATAGGCATTTTGATAACTTTTTTCTGTTATTCAATTTAACGGAGAGGGAGTCTTTGTTGGAATCTAAAAATTCAGGGGGATAATTATCACTACTCGTAAGGTATATAGGATAGTAATTTATAATTCACCCAAAAGTCCTTCCTTACTTTTACGAAGAAAATTAATTATTTTTGTAACATATAGTGATGATATGAGTTCAAATGTTCTCTAGACTAAATACTAGGGACTTCTTCCTCCATTAAAAGTCCCTATTTGTTAGTTGACAAAGCTCGAGATGCTACAACGGTTGGAATAAAAACTATATGCTCTTTCCATGATTCTGCAATATTTAGAATTTTATTTTATTGTAAAATTTGTTTTGGCTCATCTTTTAATTAAATTCTTTTTTATGGTTAAATCTATGATGGGAGGAAGAAATGGTATGGGAAGAGTTTTGACCAAGCAATACCCATCCATGAATTTTGATAAAAAAAGTGATCAGCTTTAATTGCAACGTCGTTCATTTTGTGTCAGTTTATCTTCATTATTGTTTCGTCATTTTAGGTTTTTCCCATTTGGCCAATGGCAGGGATAATACAAATGCTATTGGAACGAAGGCCAGCAATGGCTCGTGAGGTCGACGCGGAGAAATGCACTCCACTCCATATTGCTGCTTGCATTGGTTACCATAAAGAAGCTCGACTGTTGATGGAATTTGATGGTTCATGCGCTGATGTCCGCAACAAGGACCATATGCTGGCTCTTCATATTGCAGCTCACCAAGGCCACATCAACGTAATAAAAGTGCTTACAGAATATCGTCCAGATTTATGTAACTCTTGCGATGATAGAGGCTGGAATGCTCTACATTTTGCTGCAAAATATGGAATGGTTGAAGTGGCTCAGTACATTGTCAATTCGCCAGTGTTCATGGGCCTTGCTGACAAGACAAATAACCAAAGAAAGTTGCCTTTTCATCTAGCACAAGGGAATATGGTAATGAGGTCTATACTGCTCTTACCAGAACAGTCTGTGCGCTTTTGGTGTTTTTCATCAAAGGTAAGTGCTCTAACCTGGCCGATATTTAAGGGTCTGTTTGGTGTTCGCAGTCGGAATCGAAATTGGAATGGTCCATTCTCATAATCTGTTTGGTTCAAACAAGAATGGGAATGGAAATTAAAATCAGCAGAAATGGAATTTCTTTCTCAAGGAAAGGGTAGGGAATGGCCATTCCCTCAAATAGAGGGAATGCCATTCCAGCAGGAATGAGAATGGAATTCTAATTCCACCCAACCAAACAATTAGAATCAGAATAGCCCATTCCAATCCCGATTTTGAACCCCTATTCCCGCAAATCAAACGGGGCCTAAGTGTATCATGTATGGCTTTTGGTCACCAATAGGCTATTGATTTTGCTGGTTTGGTACTTTTGTCATGGTATCTACATTGTATTTATGATAATATATATATATATAAGATTGTCCACGTCACCTTTGTTATCCTTTCTCCCTTGTTATAAAAGCAAGGTACCCACTTTGAAAGAATTTACATAGCATTGTGCCTGGATCTAACCATCTTTCTCAGAAGCAAAATTCCTGTACACATGGCATCCGGTCCACATGCGGAATATTCTCAGTACGCAGCTGGATGCCTGTGCTTTTTAAGTATGTATAGAGCTTTTGCTTTTAAGAGATCTCATGGCATGTGTGCAAACAAAAATAGGACAAAAAGTAAAATGAGATGGAAAAGACAAGTTTTAAAATTTTGACCTACTTTTTTTAAAATGTTTTAACTTATATAATATGATGTTATATTTTGATTTAATTTTTATGACCTATGAGTCTATGACCCATATAGAGACCAGGTCTCCGTTAATGCACAAACACCTAACATTGATGTGGCATCGTGAATTTTCCTCATTCTACATTAAAGTGTGGTGATTCAAACAAACGATTTCCCTCATGTATGTCATGCAGATAATTGCCTTGTATTTAAATCCAGGTAGATCCTATCCAATGCTATAACCCGATTGCAACCAACTTAATGAAAATGTGGTTTCTACACTCTAGTCACTGAATTTGCATTTATCTAGCCAAGTCATTTATCAAAGTTTATATACTGAAATGATTAAATTAAGAAAACTGTGCAGATATACTATTTTATCGTTCCAATGTTTCTCTTGTATATTTTGTTTTCCACTATTCTTCATTAATATTAATAGTTGTTTATCACAGGGAAGAAAACGGAAAAAATATGAAAACTTAAAAGGAATTGGGAGGTATGTAGCACTTATGGAACATGAACCTAAGGAGGAAACAGAACCTAACGAGAACAATATTAATTCAGACCCATGGAAAGAAAGAAGCAGCATCCATTTGTTGGTATCCACAATCATCACGACGGTCGCCTTTGCAGCTGGTATAACCATCCCTGGTGGGTACATAAATGATGGCACAGACCAAGGAATGCCAACTTTGTCGCGGAAAGCAGCCTTCAAGATATTTATGGTAGCTAACTCTTTGGCTTTCAGTTTATCTATTTCCTCGATGAGAATTCACTTCAAAGGTTCAATGCAGAAACACTACGGCAATAAAGTTATTCGATTGCTCAATGCCATACCATACATTCGATATTCCATGGTGGCATTGGTAGTAGCATTTGTTTCAGGCACATATGCTATATTGGCCAATTCTTCTGGGCTTGCCATTGCAGTTTGCATAATCTGCTCTTTCATCTGTACTTTTGGTTCTAGTGTTTATAGGGTACCAAAGTGGGAAGTAAAGAAATTAAAAGCATAGTTCTTTTTTTTTTTCTCGTAAAGTTGGGAATAAAGATGGACGTACAGAGACTGGGAAGTCTCTTCACCCAGTCGTGGGCCTGGGGGCTTCTTGCCTTCTTCACCCATCAAAGCAAGAAAGCCACAGAGTTGGGACCGTGACCATCCTGGGAAGAAACTTGGAAGTCGAAATTCAATCAAGGTTATAGAGAAGTTAACTGATGTGTCGATCACTCAGGCTATGTTTGGGTTGAAACAGAAATTTGAGGAAAATTTCTTAACAAAATTTGTGAAATTCCTGAAGATTTTTTAACTTCAACTTTCTTTTTCTTCCTTATTTTCTGTGAAACCAAAATCATCCTTGTCAAATATGTTAATCACTCAACCCGAACGCAGAAAGATCTATCATAGTTGTAAATTGTGAATGGTTCTGTCAAATACCATGAATGAACGGTGAGATTCTCCGAAATTCCTAACCCAATTAGCCCTGGACACATCTCATCTGACATGTGTAGAGTTTCAGTATTGTTTTACCTATAAATAGATATTTGGCTTACAGAAGAATGGTAAATAGAGCCAATAACTGAAGCACTTCCGAAATGGATTTCTACTACCGTTGCAAAGAAAGCAAACAAATGGAAATCCACGGGAATATGGATATTGAAGAACTCGTAACAGGGAGACACGTGGATGTGACTCGACATAAGTGATAATTCGGCATAACCAGTCCGGCATGTGGAAGTGACTTGGCACGAGTGACAGCTTAGCATGATCAGTTCTCTACAGAGTAACCTCGGGTTTGAACCGAGACTTCGAGCTAAGACCACCTCAGCACTAGGTTGCGACCAAGGAAGCGCCGAATCCAAGCAAAGGGACCACCTCGGAGACAGACCTACCTCGGGCAAGATCACCTTGGCATTCAGTCACCTCGGGATTCGGATCTGAACGAGCCTAAAGAACGCAAGCTCAGATAGCTTGCTACCAGTTAGCTCACTACCAGGCAGCTCGGTATTTCGTGGGGAGCTCGCTACCTAAACGGGTCATTCCACCTGGCAACCCTGAGGATTGTACTTCCATATCCCATGACTTGTGGGACCGTACCTTACAATGGTTGTATTAATTCACCCACTCCCTGGTTCAGTCGCACTGCAAAGAGACGTTACACCCAACTAACATGATAACGGATCATGCCAAACCTGTCAGAGCACCAGTATATAAAGACC